TATATATATGTTTATGGTACCACGAGTTGAGCTTGAGTCTCAGACTCGTTGGTTAGGGTGCGTATATGCAGTGGATGCGTAGCTGGTTATAATAGGTTGAGGTGTACCCTGTTAGGTCTAGGTACTCATGCCCACCTGTGGGTGCGTATTCGCATGTTGCCTTCTATTCAGGTTGAGACCCCTATTATAGACTAGTGAATGTCCCTTAGTGTGGATATATTTATACGTATGGACTAGATAGATATTGTGAGGTGTCTACGGTGTATCTGCGTATCGGGTCACTGTATGGATTGCAGTTAGATTAGAACTTGCTCGTGGGTCTGACTCACTCCTTTATTATTCTTTTCAGGTACAGGACGGTTCCAGCCTTAGGGCTTGATCGTGCTTGTCGAGGACAGTCTCACTTTCATCTGAACACGTAGGACTTCTCTCGATGTTTCTAGCATTATCTATTTTCAGTTTCATTCTCAGTTGAACTTTTAGTTAGGGGTCCATCAGTGGATTCCCAAGTTGTAACTTTGAAGTTTTAGAGGATTGGAGTTTCAATTTTCAGTTGTACATGGAGGATTTTATAATTAATGTTTCTTTCAGTTTTATTCTATCTTTATTGTTCTTTTTGTCATCTGTGTTCGTTTTAAAATACTTTAATTGTTTGATATTCCCTCGGGTTTGGGCCTGGGCCTGATCAACCCGTGTCTCGGATCCGAGGGGTATCACACTATGTATGCCAAACAAAGGAAATTTGATCACTCGAAGCTATTTTTGAGTTGTTTGAGCATCGGGATATGGTTTCCTGGAATACAATGATAAGCTCATTCTCTTGAAACAACTGCTTTTATGAGGCATTGAATTTGTTGCAGCTTATGGTTTTTGAAGGAATTAGACCTGATGGGGTCACAATGGCGAGTGTTCTCCCTGCATGCTCCAATTTGGAGTTGTTAGATGTTGGGAAGGAAATTCATGCTTATGCCTTGAGAAATGATGATTTGATTGGGAATTCGTTTGTCGGTAGTGCTTTAGTCGACATGTACTACAATTGCCGACAGGTTGAAAGTGGCCGTAAAGTTTTTGATGGTATCTTAGATAGAAAACTTGGGCTTTGGAATGCTATGATTGTTGGTTACACAAAAAATGGCTTTTATGAGAAGGCCTTAATGCTGTTCTTGCAAATGGTGGAGGTCTCAGGACTTTTTCCTAACCCCACAACAATGGCAAGTGTCTTACCAACTTGTGTGCACTGTGAAGCATTCTCTGACAAAGAAGTTATGCATGGGTATGTAATGAAGTTGGGTTTCGAAAGGAACCCGTATGTACAAAATGCACTTATAGACGTGTATTCTAGGATGGGAAAGATAGGAACTTCAGAAAATATATTTAATAGCATGAAGATTATAGATATAGTTTCTTGGAATTCAATGATAACAGGTTATGTTATCTGTGGACGTCATGAAGATGCACTTATTCTGTTGCATGCGATGCAAAGAGTTGAAGAAGTAAAAGAATAAGGAGAAGGATTATGAGGATGAAAAAGGAGTTCCTTGTAAACCAAATTCAATAACACTCATGGCAATCCTTCCTGCCTATGCCACCCTTGCAGCATTAGCTAAAGGGAAAGAAATTCATGCTTACGCCATTCGAAATGCTTTGGCATCAGATGTTGCTGTGGGCAGTGCATTGGTTGACATGTATGCAAAATGTGGTTACTTGAACTTATTTAGGAGAATTTTTTATGGAATGCCAAACAGAAATCTGATCACATGGAACGTGATCATCATAGCTTACGGGATGTATGGGAAAGGAGAAAAAGCCGTAGAACTTTTTAGGAGTATAGAGCCGTAGAAATTTTTAGGAGTATAGTGGCAGAAAGAGCTAGGGGTGGGGAAGTCAGGCCAAATGAGGTTACATTTATTGCAATTTTCGCTAGATGTAGTCACTCTGGGATGGTAAAAGAAGGCCGTAACTTGTTTCATAAAATGAAAAATGACTATGGAGTTGAGCCTACAGCAGATCACTATGCTTGCGTTGTTAACTTGCTTGGTTGAGCAGGTCAGCTGGACGAAGCTTATCAACTCATTAAGTTGATGCCTCCTGATGTTGACAAAATAAGCACTTGAAGTAGCATGCTTGGTGCTTGTCGAATCCATCAAAATGTGGAACTTGGGGAAATTGCAGCGAAGAATATCCTTGAATTTGAGCCAAATGTGGCTAGCCATTATGTTCTACTCTCTAATATCTACTCATCTGCCGGACTCTGGGAGAAAACAACAGAGATTCGAAAGAACATGAAGGAAATTGGAGTACGAAAAAAACCCGAGCGCAGTTGGATTGAGTTTGGCGATGAGGTTCATAAGTTCATGGCTGGGGATGCATCACATCCACAAACCGAGCAGCTTTATAGCTTCATTGAAATGTTGTCAAAGCGAATGAGAAAAGAGGGTTATGTTCCTGACACTTCTTGTGTTCTACACAATGTTGGTGAGGTGGAAAAAGAGAATCTACTATGTGGGCATAGTGAGAAATTAGCAATAGCATTTGATATCCTCAACACGCCTCCCAGCACCACCATTAGAGTTGCCAAGAACCTTAGAGTCTGTAATGATTGCCATGCTGTTACCAAGTTTATTTCAAAGATTGTGGAGGAGGAGATAATTGTGAGGGATGTGAAGAGGTTCCATCATTTCAAGGATGGAACTTGCTCCTGTGGGGATTATTGGTGAGGACGCGTCCAAACCAATGTTTTCCAACATTAAGGGAAAAATTTTCAGGAGATTCAAATACTAGCAAGCTGTAACATAACACTGATCACTTCATTTGTATTATCAAGATTAGTATGTACAAATTTATTTATTGGTAAATAGTTTTTGTAGCTTTAAGTTGTGAAATATAAGGAATATCACATATTGGGAGGGCTATTGGAGTAAATGCTTTGCTATAGCTCTTTGTTTTTTGCAATTTGTGAAATGTGGATGATCAATAATGCTTTTCTCAAAATTTGGATCTCAGGCTCAATTCTTTTTTATTTTTGAATAAATTGAAAGGTAGCAATGGTGAACTGTTCAATAAGTTACTATACAGTAAGTAATAGTCCTTCATATATTTTGTTTGGACAAATTGAAACCCTTGTTGTTGCACGACCACAATATCTACAAAAAATAAAAATTTAGAGTAAAAATATAACTAGTTTTTGTTATATTATTCCTATAAAATCCTTTGATAACATTTTAAATAATATTCGATAGTCGAAATCATGAGTCGTAGTATCGGTCACGGTTACGATATAATGGACGCGGACAAAGTCAGTGTAAACTGGTTGATACAAATCACGTATCAAACTTGAAAAAGGGTCGCGGCGAACCATGGTCCAAATAATTGGTTAATTCTGTTATTACATTTTATAGTTCATTGATACATTCTTGTTATAAAGCACATTCTCTCAAATTCTTAAATAATGAGCATCAGATGTGTGTCGAGATGACGAGTGCCACATTGCCAAGAATCTCGGATACCCAATAATTTATCTTATATCAATTAGTGAATAATGACTAAAAGTGAAGCACATAATACACACACACACACACACACACACACATATATATATTAAAAAAAGAACCCCTTTGATTAAATTTTCAAATAACTACCACTTCTAGCTTCTCCTTTTTCAAGTTGTTCCCTAATGTGGCATTGAAATACGAACTCTTTTTTTTTTTTTTCCAGTTAAGGAATTTCTGAGAATATATTATGAAAAAATAATAAAATTATTACTCCGTCTTTCTTTCTACAAGCGTCAAAAATAAAAATAAATAAATAAAAATAAAATAAAAAACAAGCAGAGGCACTTGTTTGCATCAATCTTATAATTTTTACTTGCGCAAGATGCGAAAAAAATCTCCACAACTATCAATCCCTCTTGTGGCTTTTGACAACTTTTCCAAATAAAAATAAAAAAGTTGGCTTTTGGCCCCCTCAACTTACATAAATACGTGGAGTGGACTATAAAAATATAATTCCCTCGGAACATAAGTGAGTATGAGTGGGACAATAAATGAGTCGAATGTTTGTCTGACAGTTCAAACTTAGTTCGATAAAAGTTCGGGTGGTGTTAGTTTGATTAGTAAACGAACTAATTTCAAACAAATTTTTCAAACTCGCTTCGTAAACGATTTAATCTCAAACAACCATTAGCTCGGCTCGAATACGTTCACAAACAAACTCATTTAAAAACTCGTTGGAACTCTGAGGAATGACACTATATATTTCATGTAGTTAAAAAATATATATATTTTAGCCCAAACCAGTCCAATCTAACTGTTAATTTATCCCTTTTACGTTTAAAACAACCTGTGTGCATCCCATAATAGGCCCGTCTAACTAAAATGCCCATAGCCCATTTTGCAACTAGTTAATCCTATTCCTAAATCAGTCTCGTAACCACGACCTAACCTGAACATTCCCAACCGGCAAAATCGGCGACGATGAGGCAATTCCCACGACGCGCAACATTAACCAATAACCACTGGTCGGCGACCAAAAATCTGACAACACTCAAACAATTGATTTCCATGTACGTTGCTCTATATCTCTTTCTTTTCTTCTCTGTTTTTTCAAATTTAATTATTCATGAATTCCAATATAATTTACAAAACTTTTTTACGGAGGAGTTCAATAAATTTATTTTTTCTTTCAAGGTTAAAATAATAAATAAAACATAAAAATAGATGACAGTTGAAAATTTTAACACATAATTGGGCTTAGGCTTGCGTTCAGTCAGTCACATGAAACTAATGTGCTCAACCTACGGTTCTAAGTACGAGCCCACATGATTTTCCTAAATCCTAACCTAATGGATTTGATTTGGGCTTGGATTGAATAATACTCCACTTTTAAGTTCAGCCCAACTTTGAAGCCCTAGTCCAACCAAATTGAAGGTCGGCTCAACCGACCTTCAAACCCTCTCTCCAACTCCCCAATTCTCAGCGTCGCAACGTCTCTCCCCCCCCCCCCCCCCCCCACACACAATCAATTTGTAGTGATTGAAGAGCGTTTGAACGATGTGAGTGCTTGCTTCTTCACCAACTATTATTCCTTTCTTGAATACTCAAAAGCTACTTTAGAATCACAATACATTACTATTTGTTTTCTCTCTCTAAAACTGAATATAAAAATTTTCTCTGTGAAGGTCTCGAATCTGTGTGAAGAATTTGCCCAAGTACGCTGCCGAAGATCGCCTCAGAGAATTCTTTTCTCAGAAAGGAGAAGTCACTGACGCCAAGCTCATGCGCACCAAGTATATATTCTCCAATTGCTGTTCTGATTTTTCATTATATATATATACACACACACACATATATGTATATATTATGTATATATGTACGGTGTGTTATAGAACTTGTTTGGGTAATAATAAATGTTTGATTTTTGAATTGTGTAGAGATGGAAAGAGTCGGCAATTCGGATTTATAGGGTATCGAACTGAGCATGAAGCTGAGGAAGCTTTGAAATACTTTAACAATTCCTACTTTGATACTTTTAGAATTACTTGTGAGGTGTGAGTCTCAATTCTCGTTGTTATTAATGTAGTTTTGATAAATTTCTTCTATTGTTATTAATGTAGTTTTGATATATTGTTACTGTGAATTTTTTGCTACCCCGGTTCCCACTTTTCTACCCCGGTTCCCACTTTTCTACCTTTTTTAACATTGGAGAAACGAGAATGAATATAGTAAATTGGATGCGTATAGGTACAAACACACACACAAACATATACTTAAAAGACTGTATTTTTCTAATTAAAAGTCTATTAGCGTGATATGGCAATTCTTGAAGCTCAAAGAGATGAACACATGATAGTTGTTTGGTAATGGGTTTAAGTATATAGTGAATATTTGGAAGCACATCAAGTCGGACAAAAAATAGTGACACTCAGCACTCTGTTTGAGTGTTTGTAGCATGCCATGTGAGAACTATTAAAGTCTTTTGTTTGTTGTGATATATTGAGTGCGCAAATAGATGCTGACCCATAAGAGAATGGCTTTGGCTTGAACTACGAGGCTAGTAAAACCCATAAGCTTTCTTTCAAGATAATTTTAATGTACTGAATGTTGAAATGAACTTATATTACACATTCAATATGTATTTTCCTTAACATTTTAGAAGTAAATGTTGTTTGCATATTGCCAGATTGCTCATAAAGTGGGGGATCCAAATATTCCACGGCCATGGAGTCGGCATTCTTTGAAGAAACAAGAGAAATCAACGGAAGAGGGAAAAAAGGTTACTGGCCCTAAAAGTCTAGGCCTTCCAAATTCTAAAGGAGAAAAAAAAGATAGTAAAAATATAAATGAGAATACTGACCCTCAGCTTCAAGAGTTCCTTCAGGTAATGCAGCCCCGAATCAAGTCAAAATTGTGGGCAAATGATTCGTTGACGGCTCCCCCTCTTGAGCAAAAGGGAAAATTAGAAAGAGGGGATGGCAAAGAGGAATCAACTCTTGTGCAGGCTGAGTTAGATGAAACTGATGAAAGAGATGATGGGTCTTCAGATGGTGAAGCAGCTGAGAGACCACACAATTTGGCTCATGATGAAGTTATCTCGGATATGGATTACTTCAAAAGTAGGGTAAAGAAAGAATGGTCAGATTCAGAAAGCGGTGATGATGAGAATGACAATGATGAGGATGATGATGACAACAATCATGGTGGCAACAATTCTCTCCAGAAAAGCCATGGGGCCCAGGATGTTCATAAAATAGATCCTAAGGGACAAAATGATTCCCTTGAAGGAGATGCTTCTGAAGAGGAGGTGGAAAAGGGATCTTCTCAAGAATTTGATGATGAAATGATTGAATTGGATAATCCATCACCAAGTTCAAAAGATGGGAGAGGAAATGTTTTAGAGACTGCCCGTCTTTTCGTCCGTAATCTTCCATATACTGCCACGTAGGCTCCTTGTCTTATGTTACATATTTTCCATACAATGTGAGATGAATTAATTTTTTATTCTGCCAACCAGTGCTGATTGATTATTCTAAGAACTTTGATGGTTTTTTATGTATTTCAGTGAGGATGAGCTTGAAGAGCATTTTAGCAAGTACGGTCAGGTCTCACAGGTACATCTTGTTATTGATAGAGACACCAAACGGTCCAAGGGAATTGCTTATGTTCTTTATGCGCTTCCAGAATCTGCAGCTAGGTATTGCTTCTAGGTTAAAGCTTCAAGATTTGTAATATCCTCATGTTTAGGTTGACGTTTGTGCTTTGATTTGCAACCTTTATGAGCTTATTTCCCTGATATTCATGCCTCAAATTGTGAGGATTTGGATGCTGCACTCTGAGGATCAACTTATTTCAGTATTGAGACTTGGTCCCCAACTCCCTGTAAACCAACCAGAATTTATTTTGCCAAAATGCTGTGTTAATAATAAGCAGCTTATGTGCTATGTATTGGTAAAATACACGAGCCAAGCTGCTTCTTTCCTCATATACTTCTTGATTGATGTGGTCATAGACTTGGTAGTTTGAAAAAATCTTATCTTGTGTTGAGGAATATGAATACAAATGTCTTAAGTTCTTACATGCTTCCTAACATGCTGGACAAGCATGTCTAGATCTTGGCCATTTTCTGATGTGATCTACGTTGTCTGTGCTTTTACAATAATCATCATTGTTTTTTATTTTTTATTTCAGGGCATTAGAAGAGCTGGACAATTCAATTTTTCAAGGCAGGTTATTGCATATTATGCCAGCAAAGCAAAAAAGTGCTCCTGAGAAACAAGAGTAAGTGGGAAATATGTTAACCACTTTTTGCCTTCCAAGGTTGCATTTTTATTTAACCTTTTTTCGCCTTCCAAGGTTGCAATTTTGCTATGTTTGTGTGTGCGTGTGGTTTAATTCAAGCAGGAGCTTATATATATATTTTTTTGATAATTAATAATGAATTAAAAAAAGGCCTTCAAAAGGGGAACGCGTCCCTTAAACAAGCAGGAGCTTATATATAATCCTCAACCACTTTATAGGATCAATTTTTCTGTGAACCAATCTTCGAAGACGTTAAAGCAACAGAGGGAGGAGGAGGAGAAGAAATCTGAAGCCAGTGGAAATACACAAGCATGGAACAGTTTGTTCATGCGCCCTGATACGGTATCTTTCAAGTCAGTTATAGTATTGGGAAGATTAATTTCAATGTATTTCAGATTTTCTTTTACGTTTCCTAGTAATGTCATGTGGAATTGAAACGAAACATAAAATTTGACGAATTGATGGTATTATTTATGGACCAGAACCTCTGTTAGCAATTATCCTTTCAGTTATGGATTTGCCGGTTGTTGCTTTATCACTGTTATGTGGAGTTGAAACAAAACATAAAATTTGACTGTATTATTTATGGACCAGAGCCTTGTTAGCAATTATTCTTTCAGTTATGCATTTGCTTCGTGGCCTGCTCTGAGATTTCAATCATATTTTGATATTATTTTTGGACATTATTAGGTTGTTGAAAACATTGCTAGGAAATTTGGTGCAAGTAAAAGTGATTTACTTGACCGAGAAGCTGATGATCTTGCTGTACGTATTGCTTTGGGAGAAACTCAAGTTATTGCAGAAACAAAAAAGGCTCTTGTAAATGCTGGAGTTAATATATCATCTTTAGAGGAATACACCGCTGGGAAAACTGAAGGTGTGAAAAGAAGCAACCATGTTATTTTGGTAAAGAACTTGCCCTACGGTTCTTCTGAAGGCGAGCTGGCTAAGATGTTTGGGAAATTTGGGAGCTTGGACAAAATTATTCTCCCTCCAACAAAAACATTGGCCTTGGTATGCGAAACTATATTTTTACTTTTCTTCAGATTTATATGACTTGATGTGCATATGCAACATTAAATGTGTATACTGCTACTGAATGGATCCAACAATATATATTAAGCTCTCAACCATCTACTATATGTGAGGCTTCTCTTGCATGTGGAGGGACATACAAGTAGAATACAGTGCAAACAAATACACAGTAAAGGAAAGATCTCCTGCTGGAGAGACTTGAACCTAATACCTTCCAAAACCAGAGCATCGTGATATCATGCTAAACAATAAACCCAATAGCTGAAGCAGCCCAACATATATAATAGAGCTCTGAACAGTAACAATTTGTGTGAAATAGCCTTCAATTAATAGATACTAGTGGACTAGTCGTTTTATTTGAATAATGAACTATTTATTTAGATTTGGATTCACAAGAGTTCTAATCTAGGAAATCCATACCACTACTGAATTCATTTGGAACGGATAATAATTTTGCAAAGTGATTCGTGTTGTTTGACACTGAGTGGATGTGCTTTGCAGGCCTTTACAATTGACATACTAGAGTTGTTTTCTTTGTTTCTTTGTTTATTGTTTTCTTTGTTTATTGTTAAGGGGACATGAGATTAATGCATTTCTCCATTTGAAATTCCAAATCTAACCCTCTAAAAATTTTAGGATATAAATTGTTAATTTAGACAACTGTTCAAATTTGAAAAAATTAGGAGATCCATTTTTGTCACATTGACCTTTCAAAAGAAACACTTCTTTTGGGACATGTCAGGACAGGAGGGGATATTACCATTAGTTGCATAGCTTGAATTGTTTCTTTTGCCATCCCAAAAGGGAGGCATGCCTTTGTTAACTTACTAAAAATGATAAATGAATCTAACATTCTGATATTAAAATGCCATTTGAATCCTGTGAGCAGTCACTAGCAAATAATAATTAAGGTTAGGTTTGTATCCAGTCTATCCCTCCCAACTCTCCCAATTGATGAAGGCCACACTAGGTAATAATGATACTCTTAAAAGTTAAAACCTAATGGTACTTATTAAAAAAAAAAAAAAAAAAAAAAAAAAAAAAAAAAGAAGTTAAAACCTAATAGTATATGATTTTAACATGAAATTTGTAACTCACAAATCTCAAAAATGAATTATCTCTATGCTGCATGGATTAAAACACTTTGAGGACATGACATGTTGAATGTGTTTATGAATGTATTGTTTTTAAAATATGGTCCAATTTCCTAAAAAATCTATATAAACCTTTGGTTTGATTTTTCCATACAATTATATTTTCTATGCTCAAGAAAATCATACGTAAAGATTCATCATTTACGTGTTGACTATGATTATTGATATATGGTAGGCATGGTGGTTGTCTTGGGATGATGTTTAGCTTTGGGTGAAGAACCTTGCTTACCCAACAACCTTACTTACCTAACAACCTTAGTTGACTGATAGTTGATATGTGAGACATACTTGACAATTGCCTAGGAATGTTCAGCTATAGCCTAGGTTTGGTCTAGCAAGCTATGTTTTGGGCCTCTAATTACCAAAAAATAGTAACACCTAGCAATTCATGCTCCATATGCATGTTCCAAAAACATTGAACACTTTCGTATCACAACACAGAGTTTAGCTGTCTGAATTATTTCTTCTTATCTCTTCTATTTGTTTCTCTTTAAGATTAGCATCAAAAGAGCATATAAATCAGGAACTCAACGTAATTAGGATAAACCAACACAATGCTTTTTACATGTCTGAACGTACAATATGTGGACTTTCAACAGTTTTGTTTTACATTCCTCATAACTGGGTAGGAAAAGCTGTAGCTTTTGCAGTAGAACTTTCTCCATTATATTCTGACTTTATATTTGAATAGGCTACCATATCTTACCACATTCCCATTTCCAAAGCATTCCATATACAATAATTATCCGTGTTCCAAGTAACATTGGTTGGCCTTGTAGATCATTAGGGTTGGAGATACTTGGCCTTTGTCCATCTTGCCATTTAAAAAATCAGTGTTGATGTATTGATAATCTGGAAGCTGATTGTAAGAATTCCTTCTATCCTTGTTTCGTTTGGCTAGATTAGGGGAAGGATTTCTTCTTCTTTTTTTGTCTAAAAAGTTGATGTCTGTTTGATGAGTATTTTAATTAATCAACATTTTTATTGCTGCAAAGTGAAAGCAAGTGTCATAACTGGTGGAAATAATAATAATAATAATAATAATAATAATAAAAATATTTGGTATTGATTGTTAAATTGTATGTTTCTATATCTTATGGTATTTTTAAACATGATATATCAGGTTGTATTTCTTGAACCCACTGAAGCACGTGCAGCTTTCAGAGGTTTAGCTTACAAGCGTTACAAGTAAGTTTGTCTTTATTCTAATCACTAGTAATGACCACAAATTGTGGTATATATTATGATTTAGATTTTATGATCTTACAATACAAAAACACGTAATTGATCTAGATTCCATTTAAAGAGTAAAACAAGTTTTAAAAAAATAGTACAGAAATCTTGTGGATTCTCTAAGAGATTACATGAATTGTGGGATCCCAAGTCAAGTCCTGATTCTACAGTTAACTACTAAATGGCCTTAACGTTATATTGATGTTGTGATTCTTTTATTGCTTGCGGGTCATGGACACTTTTAGTACTCTCTTGTAGCCCGATGTATAAGGGCGTTTAGGGTTTGGAGGGGGATAACGAGAGACACTGAAATCCGCAGAAAAGAGTGAGAGTGAGAATTATGGTTTGGGGGCTGAAGCTTGTAATCTCCTGATTTTTGCATAGTGAACCACATAGACTTTGTGTTCTTTGTGTGTCGTGTTTACTTTTTCGTCGTGATTCGTGATTTGTCCTTGGTTCGCTGCATTTGTTGTAAAAGTTATTCTTATATTGGCCGAGTCTTGAAGACTCTCCTAGATGTCTCAAGTTAGACACTTTTGTCAAAATTTTCTACCCATTTTGACTTTTAGCAACTCTTATATACGTTACTTTATAAACCAATTTGGCCAATCAATATCTCAGTCTGACTAGTATGGGTACAGTGTTGTTTCCTTTTCCTTTTTTTTATTTTATTTTATTTTTTATTTTATCTTATAAGTAGTGTCGATGTTTGTGTGTGTGTGTGTGCATATGAAGAGCATACGTTTTTGTGCTCCAAATATTTGTTTTAATGTTACTATATTCATGACTTTTAGTTATTGTTAGTGTATTCTTCACTCTTCAGAATCTTAATATGCAGAAATATTATTAGAGCTTATCCTTGTTGTATTGTAGAATTTTTAGCCCCCCATTAGGAGTGATGATGATATGAAATGTAGATTCCCATTTATTTTCATTTGGAAAAGAACAGCGCATTCATGTAACTGAAATGAGAATGTTAAGATGAATGGTAAGTATGACTAGAATAGGGAAGGGTTACTAATCAAAGTGTGAGGAAGATATTAGGAGGGACTCCTATCAGTGATAAGATTGACTTAGGCAATGTGAACATTTATAACAAAGTCGGGGCAAGTCTCCTCTCAAAACATTCCTCCACCATATCCCATATTGCCTTTGATCGGTATTTAGCGCCTATGGGAGACCAAGATAGGGAGATCGGAGGCAGGCCACCTTGCACCCCAAATCTTCTGCGAGTTCCTCTTTGTTGATCACCGCTCCCACTAAAAAAACTTTTTATAAGTTCATCCCAAGTCTTGAAACTGTTTAAAAGCAACCCAAGATACATTTAAGGATTCTGAGCTGCAAATGATTGGCTGCACATAGGAAAAAAGTGTCATCAGCAACTGAAGGTGAGATTAATTTGCATGGAAGATAAGAGACAAAAAGTTAACATGGGATAAATTTATGAGAAATGATTTTTTTAAATTAAATATAATAAGAGAGAAGGCTTTGTAGTAGTGTTTACACCCCAATTTTCAGCTGCCGCCATCCAATAGGAAAGTGACATGTGGTGAGTTCCATTGGAACTTGCTACAGCGAATTCTTGCATTGATAGCCACCAGAAACTCGACACTTGGCTATACAAGAGTGAATAAATCACCTGCAGCTAGAGTCTCTGGAAAAATTAAAGTCCTAAAGCCAAGAACGACTCAGATGTTGTCACATGGTTTTAAGGATTAATTAGATACGGAAAGGTTTCTGTGAAACGTGGACTACCAAAGGCGAGGCATGTGACATGACCCAAAGGAATCTGAGTCTTCAAGTGCCACGTGGCAAACAAGGGAGTTCATATAAGAGGAAGACTTGAGTCAAAGATCGACTCTGGCAACTTTCATAGATTATGTGTCAACCCCAGAAGGCGGCCACTTACCTTATTCAGCTGTTTAGCTCCTAATATCAAGCAAACATCCCACCAGAGAAGTAAACATGCAGAAATTTTAGGAACCAACCAAGGAAGTTACTCCAAACGGGTCACTAATGGAGAAAATATAGGGAATCAACTGAAGGCTTGCTAAATATCAGCTAGTGATGAAGAACTGCCTTAAACGTGCGACACCCATTAAGGAGTTGTCTGAAACTTAGCCAAGTGTGATATTTTCCATCTGCAGGTTAAGGAAAATGGCTAAGAACGTGCAACATGCTTCAAACCACTAGAGCCACTTCTCAGAAGCTTGTAATCATGAGAGAACATGATCTCACACGAGTAAACACTATGAAAAGACTAAGGAGTTCATGGGACAAATGGCATGATCTGGATGTTCCACATTGAAGATTCCAACTGCTGAGGATAACTGATGCTGGAACTGCTACCTCCAGAGCTCTATATATAGGATACTTTGATGTATATTGCAAACCCTGTTCAACACACACAACTCAACAATACTTTACTTCAATTATCTTTCAATTCCAGCAATTGTCTTTCAAGTATCTTTACATTCTTTCAATGTACTTCAATTATTTCCATTAATGTATTTTACTTTCCAAGCCCTGTACTTTCATTCCTTTACTTTCAGTTCTGCACTTCAATTCCTTTCCTTTCCAGCCAAAGAAAAATTCTTGAAGTACTTTGTTCCAATGGCAAAAAAGAACCTCGAAAGTGGTCATTCCAAACCTTCATTCAATCGCTTGATCCATTCCATCTTCCATTTCGAAAATAGTCTGGATTTTCACTTGTAACTTTCAGAGTTCCTGGCACGCCCGCAGTTCCTCTAGAACTGAAGAGTTTTTTGAGCCCAAACAAATAGGAAAGAATTAAAAAGAGAATTCATGTGGCCAATCCAATTTATATATGATTAAGGCAAGGAAGATGATGATGAAGAATTGTAGACCCCCCATTGATCATACGTAGGTTCCGATTTCAACAACCTTGCCCCTATTAAATTTTTTTTTTTTTTTTTTTTGATAAGTAAGAAATGCATTGAAAGCGTTCAAAAGGGGAACGCATCCCAAGAGAACAAACACAGGGCCAATACAGCCCTTTAAGCCTTCAAAGAGGCCAAGAAAATAACAATATTGAGATCTAAAATCTCTACCCAAAACCTAGCAAAAAAGAGTGGAAAGAATAGAGAACTTAAGACAAGAAATAGGCCTCTCCTTGCCCTCAAAATATCTTTTATTCCTCTCCAGCCAGATGCACCACCACACACAAAGAGGCGTAGCCCTCCAAGCATCACGAATATAGGCCCCCACAGGGCACCCTCTCCAAGCCTCAACCATCTGTCTAGAGGAGCGAGGCATAACCCAATGAAACCCAAACAAACAAAGCATCAAGTCCCAACATTCCTTAGCCACGGGGCAATGAAGAAGAAGATGGTCCACTGTCTCTTCATCCTGATGACACATGTAGCACCGATTGACAACCACCTGATTTCTCCTTCTCAAATTGTCTTGGGTCAAGCAAAAAAAACCACCTTGAGAGGAGCCTTAGAGCGCCAAACAGACTTCCACGGGAAGGATCCTCCAGGCTCAGCTGTAAGACGCCTGAAGAAGGAACGAACATCAAAGCGACCTTGCGAATTTGGCTTCCAAATCCAACAATCAGAATCACCAGCCATGACGCCCTGTCGATACAGCGCCTCCAACAAAAGAGTGACATCCTCGACCTCCCAATCCTGAAAAGGACATCTGAATTGAACATCCCAAACCAGTCTCCCATTATCAAGACAATAACAGTCAACCACCTTGGCCTGTTTATCCGAAGCCGTCCTGAACAGCCGAGGGAAACCGAGGGCAAGAGAAACCACCCCACACCAAACATCCTCCCAAAAATTGATCCTCCTGCCATCCCTAAGTCTGAAACGGACATGAGTGGAAAAGACAGCCCACCTCTTCCGAAGGCACTTCCAAACTCCCACACCCCTCGGGCTACGCACCTCAAGAGAGCACCACCCTCCTCTACCTTCCCCATATCTACTTGCAACAACCCTCTGCTAGAGCTAGTGCCTCTCCACCCCAAACTTCCACAACCATTTCCCAAGGAGAGCTTTATTGAAATGCACCAATTTATGAAGACCCAACCCACCATTACGATTCGGCCTGTACACTTGCTCCCACCAAACCAAATGAAACTTAAACTCCTCCCCTCTTCCCCCCCACAGAAAGTTACGTTGCAACTGTTCAATTCTCTTGGCAACACGGGGGAATCTGAAAAAGTGAGATGAAATAAGTAGGAAGGCAAGAAAGGGTACTCTTAATCAGAGTAACCCGCCCCCCTTTAGAGAGATATTGCTTCTTCCAACCAGCCAATCTCCTCTCAAACCTGTCCACAACAGGATCCCCTCTTCCCCCCCACTGATTTTGTTTAATTATTTAAAAGATAAAACAAAAATTAAGATTGCATTACCATATATAATCTTAAACTTTTGAATATTAAAATGGTATGGGGTGAGCACAGTGAGACTTCAACTGTGAGTGGTAGTAGGAACCTCTACAATTTAAGCGGAAAATAAAAACGATAAAGAAATATAGTTCTGGGGTTGGCTGTGTGCTCAGGTCAAGTGCCTTCTATTTAATTACAGGATTGGCTTGCATATCTGGTGTCAGATTTTGCCAACTGTAATGATGACTTTGTGCTTGTGGAAGCAAATCAATAGTTACTTTGCTCGCTTGATGTGGAGTGCTAGTTAGCTTACACAATGGTCGAGGAACTTTAGGTTAGTATCTTTCTGAATGTATAGATCTCAGTTTAAAGAATTTTATGGCATTCAATATTATTGTGTGAGATATGGACTTATCGTTCCTTATCTAGTAAAATTTGCCTCCTTCAGGGGGGTGATGGATGAATGCTTTAAGAGAGCCCAAATCGGACTGTCTGGAACTTTCTTGTCTTTCACTCTCCTGCAGGCATGCCAACTTGATTCTCTATCTTTCTGAATAGTTAGATCTTGGTTTAAAGAATTTTAGGGCATTCAATATTATTGTGTGAGATACGGACCGTGTATTCTGCTTTGCCTTTGGAAGCCTCATCCTGTGGTTAGGATTGATTCAAGGGTAGAAAAGAGGTTTGAGTGATGATATCTGGTCATAGAAATTAAAGGCTTATGAAGTTCAGTGGAGTAGAAGATCCTCAGACTCACTATCGCAGTCCCGTGGACATGACACCTAGAGTTCGATGCATCGCACAATCCTTGAAAGAGAATTATTTCTGAAAATTTTATCTGATCCTGTTTGCTATTGATTTGGAAAAAATTACCTAATTAGATATAAGCTTTTAGGTAACCCTAACTCTACTGAGACTTGCTCAGTAATTACGATCTAGAAATTGATCTGTAAAACCTATAGAAACCTACTATATTCCAAGCATTAAGATCCAAAAACTTGAGCTTGACTCAAAACTTCACCTATGGACCACCACTATGAACCATGTTCGATAACTCTTGATAATACCAAGATATCCTCAAACTTCAAATTTGAAGTTAACATATATAAACTGAACCATATATGTATTAACTTATAGTTGATATTAAATAAGACTAGGTTCAAACTATATAAGATCTCAAGTGGCTTTTGCTTTCAAACTATCCCGATTGCCCATAATCTGCATTCTCTAATAGAATGCATCAATTCCATTGTCTTGTACTTCAAATTATTTATTTTTTTAAATTTGTTTGCATTTAAAAATCTCCCATCCAATATCTTACTTATCAAAAAAATTAAAAAATCTTTTATCCAATATCTTATTTTGAAAGATAAAATCTTTTATCCAATATCACTTACCATAGATGTATATATGTATATATGTTTGCTTCGAGTCTCTCTCCGTCCCTCTTTGTAACCTTCCTTTCCTTGTTTATATTTTTACATTATTATCTTACTTCTAGATACTTTTATGTCTGCTACTTATCGCATCAACGGTATTTGCTAGTTTAGGAGTTGTGGATATGCGTTATATTTTGTTTTTCATTTTGAATTAGGGATGCTCCACTGTATTTGGAATGGGCACCTGGCAATATTCTGAGTCAAAATTCAACATCTGTGGGTGATGCAAATAATTGTATCATTGTTGGTGAAAATGATGCCAAGAGGGTATTATTAGAGCAACATGTGGAAGGAATAGCAGATGCTGACATTGATACTGACAAAGTTGAGGTTAGACATTATATATCAATTCCATCCATGCATTTCATACTCTGTATCGTTTTACTCCATAAATTTTCTTGAGCAGATTCCTTTATTTATTTATTGTCTTTTATATCTTCATTTCGTTAGGAGTCCCCTCTTAATGGGCATTCTTATGATCTAATTGTTACTAAATAGTGGTATAGTTGGACTGTATAAACAATCACAGTTATGCTTGTATGTTCTTGCACAGATATGGACACTTTTTTCTAATTCTGAAAGATCAGCAACTGTAATTATTGGGCTTCATTCCTTAGTTATCATTATAAACCATTGATTGCTCAAAAATACAGTCTTTTCATATTGTTGTTTATGTACTTGCTAACTAGTAATATTTAATGCTTTTAGCTTCTTGAGGTCTCACCGCTATAAACCTTATTGCAGCCTCTACGCTGTCTTCTTTAGTTTGTTTCAATATGATATCTGCAAGATGACTGGTAACCTAACTAGTAATATTTAATGCTATTGCTTCTTGAGGTCTCACCTCTATAAACCTTATTGCAGCCTCTACACTGTCTTCTTTAGTTTGTTTCAATATGATATCTGCAAGATGAATGGTAAATTTACTTTTCGAATATCTTTATTCAAATTATTCGTTAGTTTATTTATTTTAGTAAGAACTACCTCTTAACTTTATGGTGAAATTTCCTATGACATAAATCTCCACCATGATGTAGCATGATCGAGAATTTGACAGCTATAATCAAATATGGACCCAATAACACTCGGATCAATGCCCAAACTTGCAATAATCTGATTTTCGTCAGAAATCTGTGTTTCCTAAGAAATAGGCTCAGTTTTCCTGAGCCATGGGGCTTAATAACAAACCTTGAGAAAGGGTAGATGAATATAGCCAATATATATATCTGATCTTTTAATTCTCCAAAAATGAATTCATCGATGTCCTCGTTACATCACATGCATGTATAAATAATTCTAGTAAATTTGGTTATCTAGTTGTGGGCTTTGAAGTTATTTCATTACAAATAGTTCAAATTATAGTGTTTTTTAGATCTAACTAAAAGTATAAACTGGGGCTGTGCATTGGGAGGACTTGAGTGGTTTTGGCCCCAGAGAACTCTTTGGTCTTTATTGACACAAACTAGCCTAAGCGTAGCCTGGCCTGTCCTGAACTCGGGCCTCAAACAACCAATCCAAGCTCAGGCAAAGGAGAGTATGTGAGACCAGGCCTGACTTTACATTGAGTATTGCAAGGGTGGGCTGGTCAGAGTTGGGATTTTACATTTTAGAACCCAAGGCAGCCCTAAAAATCTGAACAGGACACGATTCTTTGCCCAGACCGGCCTCATGGGCTTGTATCACAACTCCAAGCCCTCCCAAGATTGGGCTGGGTTTGTAGACCGGCCCATAATTGCATCTAATTGAAGCCTAGTGATAATTAAATAAGATGAAAGAGAACCATCAGAATAAGACTCATAAAACTTAATCCTGTCATTGAATTTTCAAACCTAAAATACCCCTAATCTCTGAATTAACTAAATTGAACAAATCAGCCCTTACTTTTTCTTTTTCTTTTTTTTTTTCTTTTTTTTTTAAAACTAAAAAACAATTACTCTCTCTTTGCACCTAAAATAATCTTGGATCTTGATCGCCATAAGGATGAGTGAGTCTTCTGTTTCTCTTCACAATGTTAACTAAGAATTTCAATGAGGCTATGCTAGGTACAGTGGAAAAGAAAGGAAATGAGAGGACATTGTTAACCATTCATTGTGTTTGGTTCATTTGTAAATGAAAATAAAGGAAATGATAGTAATCATATTTGGAAAGAGAAAGGAAATGAAACTATTTAAATAAAATTACTATACTACCATTTTTCATAGATTTTGTCTTTTATAAAAGTAAGGGCAAATTCGGTATTAACAAAGTTTTATTAAAAATGTTAGCATTTCCTTCTTTTTCCTTCTATTTCCTCCCATTTTTGGAACAATTGAAAAACTAACATTTCATACCTAATTTGTATCATTCCAAACCCCTATATTTCCTTTCTTTTTCCTTTAAAAAATTATATCAAACACACTATTTCATTTCCCTTCATTATCTTTCTTTTCTTTTCCTTCTTTTACCCTTCTACCAAACGGGGCTTGAGAATCCTATTTTTTATCATTAAGATTGCATAAATCCATTATTAGGGATGAATTTTTTCTGTCCTTTTTTTTGTTAACCTCTTGGAAAGTGAGAGTGGATTCTTCAGCCAACAATAATGTGTTATTATTGTTAGAGTCCTTTTATAACATTAGAAAGTAACTAAAAAATAAAAGAAAAAATTATTATTTTTTAGGTAGACCAACCTAATATCTATTTTTTTTTAATATAGTCTAATCATATCTTGATAGTAAGGGTAATATCGTAAGAGGAAATTTCTCTTCGAGACAAGTATTTTTATTTTTTCACTCTGACTTTCCAAATTATTTTGGTTTTTATGAAATATCTTCTTCTTTTTTTTTTTTTTTAAATGCCTAGTAAAATTTTCACTTAAAAAAAATGTGAACTTTTTTTCCACTTTATACTATACTCCGTAATGAGTAATGACTCTTGCTCCTAAGTGAGGAAGAGATCATCCCTGACACACAAAGTGTTCATTGGTTCCCTAGTGAGTAATATACTCACTTTTAATGGTAGTTTTAGGATCTAACACACACACACACACACACACACACACACACACACACACAAAGTGTTCATTGGTTCCCTAGTGAGTAATATACTCACTTTTAATGGTAGTTTTAGGATCTAATTTTACGGTAATTAGTTAATTAATCTTTTCTTTTCCTTATTTTAAGAAAAAAAAATCGAATGTATCCGACTATTTTATGTGAATGATAATGACATTATCACAATGTCACTTACTATAATAATATCATTATAACATCAATGCTAACTAGTATCGAAGTTATTATTAATTTTGTTAAGAAACTACTTTTTATATTCATATTTAATGGTATTAAGCTATGAAGCACCGGCACAATGCTTACCCCCAATGTGCCAGTATTCAACACGTGTCTCAGGCTTGGACACGTATTCGACACCTCAAATCCATATCTTAACTTTTTTTAATAATATATATATATATATATATATATATATATATATATATATATATATATAAACGAACACGTCAACGACACTCTAAACATGGCTTAGTGTGTGTGTGTGTATATTTATAGAAAAAAAAAAAAATATGAGATATAGATTTTTTTTTTTTTTTTCCTGACAATAGAAGCCCTACGGCATCTACAAGAAACAAGACCACAAATACAACCAAAACAAACCACTGACTAACCACAGCACCATAAAAAAAACAACAAAACCCACGACCGCAAACTTACAATGACGATCCTTATCAAATTTACAAATATGAGCAAACACACAAAAGACACCTGACAAAGCAAACCACCATAGGAATAAACCATGTGACCTAGTGTAATAATTCCCATACTGCAACAATAGCCACACAAAGAAGGAAGCAAGTTCCAGAAGCGTATGGTAGCATCTCTGCGTGTCGGCAACGCCATAGACACCTAACCATATTTCTAACCCTATGTTGGACAAGAACATGACATTAGAGGGATTGATATTTTATGGACCCAGCCTTCTAGTAAAAACCAGCCTTGCGTTGTTCCCACACACTAACAAAGAAAAGGTTGACCCAGAAGCCAAAGTCAAACGCTACAGAAGACGACAGAAGAAACAAGGGGGACCAAGGGTTGCACGGCCACCAATCAGACCAACCGTCGGCAAACCACCAGCAGGAAGAGCCATGTCTGGAACAACAAAACACCACAGAGAATGGAAAACAACATAAAACCTATGCTCCGAATGATGTCTAGCCTCATAATTTTTTCCGGCAACAACAATCCATGACCCATAGTCAATAGCGGCTGGAGGAGAGGCAGCATGGAGCAAAGCAAGAGAAAGGAGCAGCCAACCTGCTTCATGAACATGTCCAACGCGCAACAACCCTAAATGTGAGAGAAACTCCGACACGTAGGACCAAGAAAACAACGCACCACAAGAACCGGAAAAACCCTTCCCAAATAGTGAACCCGCCAACAGATAATCAGTATCAATAGCCACCCCTATCCCAGAACCCGTGGCCACTGATGAAAACCCGACACTGACAAACAATTGGCGAGACAAAAATATAACTAACAGAGAAGCCAGAAAAAACAACCAAATACCTAGATCAAAAAGGAAAAACAGTGGAGATCGGCCAAGACACCATTCACCTTTCAAAACACACAAACTAGAAACTCGTAGAACCCAAAAGATCATCGAAGCCGACCATCCACCTGAAATTTGTCCGGACCTAAGTATGGAGTCCATCCCATAAGAACACCACTGTGGAGAGACGATAACATGAGGAAGGAACAAACACCAAAGAAACACCAAAGAAACCCAGTAAGAGTAAGCTACGTAAACAAAGAAAGAGACCCAACAAAAAGAGAGAGAGAATTTATATATACACAATAACGCCTGTAAGTTATTTCAAAAATAGCTAAGAGATTCCACTGTAAGCTAAGATGGTACGTAGTAATCAATAACCTGAGATATAGATAGATTTGTATATATTTGTTCTTAATAAATAATATACAATAAAAATGCTCACGGAGAAGATTCAACTATAAACTGATATAATACAATTAAGTTTAGGACTAAAAAAATAAACCCCCCCCTGTTATTTACAAAAACTACATATAATCCCCTCAAGTATTAAAAAAACCCCTAAACTAATATAAACTATCATGTCGCCCCATTTCCATTACAAAACTGTTAAGTGACTGCGAAATGACAATACTACCCTTTATAGTATATTAATATTTTATTAAAATGAAATTGTGAATTTTAAATGGCAATTATGCCCCCGTATGAAACGATGTCGTGTGGGTTGTATAATCTAATAAAACGATTTTATGCCTAAATTGTTGTGCTGTGTTTGTGTTTGTGCGTGTGCGCTAAGTGTTATGGAGGCGAGTGTTGAGTGTAATCATTGAAAGCGCGAGTGTTGTGTGTGTGTCTTGTGTCTGTAATCGCTTAGTGGTCGAAGATCTTGATGGATTCGAAGTGGTTCATGTCACTTTTCTTGGACAAAATGGTGCCAAGTATAGACAAACTTTCACTCATTGTCCCTTTGCTGTTAAACTCATATGAACATGTCACTTTGACAGCAGCTGGATAGCCACAACCACATATTATGTTGTTATACCTGAGATCTTGCCGTATAACAGATTGTGTGGTGGAAGAAGACATTTGGGCTTCGGCTGATTGTGGTTTAAGGCTTCAAATAATCAACTTAGGGCTGATACGGGCTACGATTTAGGGCTTTAAATCATCAATTGGGGACTTCAATCGATCAATTGCGGCTTCAATGAAGTACTATAACTTCTGTTATTGCCGCTATGGAGGATACCACACCATTGAAACGAGAGAGAAGAAGATAACAAAACTGAAGCTTTGATCTGTAAAGGCCTGTGCAATTTGTTTTATACTGAGAATGGCAATTTCATCATTATGAGAGAACAAGGGTATTTTGGTTAACATAATGCAGTATATGGTGCACGTGATGGTCACGTGATAAGATCCCAATAATTTTAGACGGTCAACTAACGGGGAGGGGGTGATATGATATCCTTTTAAAAACATGAAAGGGTAATATGATAGTTTATGTACTTGAGGGGGTTAGTAGATAGTTTTTGTAAACAACATGGGGTTTTATGTTTTTAGCCGTTAAGTTTATAGATTTGTTATTCTTTGCCAAATATATGTTCTTTTATGCCACCTTTATTTGATAAAAAGATGAAAAACCTCAAGAGTTGCAGGAGATGAGGGTTAGAGAAGGACGACCGAAGAGAGGAAACACATTGAATGGGAGGGCGAAGAAGGGGATAAGTACAATGGAGAAGGATCCTCTACTTGTTCCCCAGTTTGGGATATACAATAACATCTCAACCTTTTTGTAGTGTATATCCCGAATTGGAGGGAACAATATCATTGTTCCACTGGAAGGGATCCGGTCCAAATACAATACAACCCAATATTTTTTTACCACCTGTTTGGTCCTAGATTTAGACCCTTCAACTCGAGTCGTGACAAACTTTGTCACCCCTATAATACAACAATAAACGAGTTCGGGTCATAAACAGTTCGACACTATTAACCCGTTTAGTTAATCGCATCGTGTTTGGATTGAGGTGGTTCAACTCATTAACCCGTTTATATCCATTCAACTATATGTGTCATAAACAAATTTATAATGAAGTTCTCTAAACTTATATTATAATTTACTCTTTTGTAGACTAGAACCTATTTAGTAATTTGATTTGATTGAAACTTATATTTTTTTTAGTATTTATTATTTGATTGACTATTATTAATAATTTAAATAATATAATTTTTTTGTTTTAGTAAATAAGTCATTAACTAGGTTAAAGTGTAACTCGTTTAATAAACAGGTCAAACTAGCGTTGAGGGTTCATGACATGAATATTATTAAACTAACGAGTTGACCTATTTAGTAAAATAGTCAGGAGACAATTATGACTCACAAACACAAATTCCCACCCTACTGCATTGCTAAATTTTTAAGATTTGCCTATCAATTGCTGTCCCTCCTTGCATCGTCCAGTGCTTCTTAGTCGTAGATATTAAGAATAAAACAATTTGGCTACTCTTTGCATCGCTCCTCCTTGTATTCCCTCTTCCGTGGACCCTTGTATGTATTTCAGTTAGTCTGCTGCCACCAGATACTCGAATACAAACCCAACAAAGGTCTAACAAGTTTGGACCCTCCTTCGATTTAATCACAATCGTCAAATTCCAGGTAGATTCCCTCTACTGGGTTTTTGCATAGCATAAACCTCTTTTGATTCAAAAGTTCGATACCCAGATCAAACAAATGCTGACTGTTAAACCCTCTGTAATAACCTGAGATGCAGCTCAAGTGTTTGATAAAATTTCCCTTACAGAGCTTAACTCTCTCTCAGCTCTTGTCTCCCATGTTAATGCATATACATACATAAACAAACTAAAAATTGGATAGTGTTACCAATTGATGCCCAAAAGGTATGATCTCCTCTACAAAGGGGAGCTTGAGTGTTTGAGCCCAACTAGGGGCTATATCGTGGGCGTGTGTACAGTTGCTTGAACTTTTGGGGAAAAAAAAGGGTTAGTGTTTTTTTTTTGCAGATTCTATATGTGCAAGTGTGTTGCCACCCATTGCTTTGTTATTTACTTTTATTTTTTATTTTTGTCTTTTTGTTTTCTTTAAGCTTTAGTCTTGTTTGGAGTTTAGATAGCATAAGAAAGAGGTATGTTCTTTATTTAATATGACTGTTTATTGTTTAAACTTAGTTGGAGCGTTAAGCTTGTCAGGAAGTCTATTTGGGCAGTTTGGCTTATAAAGATGTCAAATTCATGCCGTGACCGTTCACTTGGTCTGATCATTGCTATTTTTAATTAGGATTGTCAATTTCAAAATCATTGGTACATAAAAAATTTTAAAATGTCATTCAGTATGTTGCACTGTGTTTGTTCCATCATTCTATATAGCTTTCACATGCCGTAAAATTTAAATGTCATGTACTTCATGCATTAACTGTGTGCCATTCAACATAGCAAAAATGATTGAATTGCAGTGAAGAGGTGAAGTGCTTCTTCATGGGTCAAGAATGTTGGATATGTTTTGATGGTCCTTATTTTAAGGAGTTACTGGAATTTAGTATTTGTTTGTATTTTTTTGAGAATCTGGGCTCAGAGACGGCCATTGTCATGCAACAAATAATATTCTGCTTATGATATGACTGTTTTCATGCAATTACAGGGTGTTGCAATGGAGGACAAATCTGAAGAGCTTGCGAGTTTGCTGAAAATTCTCCCCCCTGTAGAATTTTGCTGTGTCTATGGCTCAGCTCTCCATCCAAATAATTGTGACAAGGTTATAATTTTTTCTGCATGATTGACTTTATCTTCTAACTATCATAATAAATAAAATAAAATAATAATAAAGAAGAAGAAGAAGAAAAAGAAGAAGATAAAAGGCCTTATCGTCTAATTTAGTTTCCTTTTTCTTTTCTTTTCACTTTATTTTAATAATTTTATGTTTTAACTATCTGAAATTTTACCTCGCTTTTGGTTTTCCAGTCATCGATGGTAGATTACATTCTAGGTGTAGCAGATCCTCTGCAATGGCATGCTGAGGTAAGTTTTGGATTGCATAACTTGTTTTTTTTTTTTTTTTTTTAAAATAAAAAATAAAAATCTTATTTCCGTCATTGAAGAGAACAAAAGTTCCATAGATTCTAATTGTATTTATTTATTTTTATTGGCACCAAGAATCTGAAAATGAATCGAGATCACTATGCCTCCTGGATGGTGCACCTTGGCGGGGCAAGGCTGGTGCTGCTCCCTCTCTCTCTCTCTCTCTCTCTCTCAAATTGGTTCTTTTTTATTCTAAGATTAAATATTTGGTTGGTTGTGTTAGATTACTGATGTTGCAGATGAAATTGGTGTTGGAGTACACTTCAACCCATTTGTTACCAGGAATAACAAGGTATTAAAAATTCAGCAAGTTCAATATCTAGTGTATCTGCATGCACACGCATAAAACCTATTGTACATCAATGATTTCGTTTGTCTGTTATATATCTTGGTATAAATTGTGTTTCAGGGTGTCTTCTTAAAATCCTTCACCCTTGAGCAATTTTTGGCAGATGTTCAAGTATGGGGTTGTTCGAATGGATGATCTGATTCGGGACATACTCAATTGGGAGAGGTTCTATCTTAGTGGTCGATTACAAAAACCTGTATGTCTTCTCTAAGAGTGCTATGTTATCATTTTCTTTCTCCTTTTTAAACTTTGGACTTATCTTGACTTTATTTCTGAGGAAAATGATAGAAAAGAAATGTGTTTTGTTAAACCCTTTTAAAGGAAAGAGTGAAATCATATTATGATGTATTAGTTCCCCCCTTGAATATTTAATACTCTTATGTCTTTACATGATGATACTGTAAGTTCCTTGTGAGTTGTGAATTATATTTCGATATGAAAGAAAATCAGAAATCCTTTCATCTAAATTGATTTGGACTAATCATGATTGTGCCTGCCCCTCCCTCCTTCCTTTCCTGTTTTCAGCCGTTTATTAGAAGCCTTTTTTGGTGTATGGGAAATGCATTATAGGAATAGAATAGTTGAAATATACATAAAGAATAAATAAATTCGTGAGCTTATTATGTGTATGGCATTATATTAATCAAGTATTCACAATTTGACTGAAGATATGCAATTTCTATATTTTCTAAGTTGTGTTTGATAAAATACAACTCAGTAGACATATGCATTGAAATTAAAATGATAATTTTTACATCCATGGATTGCAAAAGAGAGTGAAAAGGAACAAAAAAAAAGGTATCTACAATAATATAAGAATATATAATGTTAATACTAATACCCTTATGATATCGTACGGAGAAATTTATAGTGTTTTGTAATATGCTAAGTGTGCTTGACTTCTTTACATGATCATTCTTTTGGGGCCTTCTAAAATAAGGGCTCACTTAAAAGAAGAATTAGATCTAAGGTTGGGGATGTAAGGTTGAATTAGTTTTTTAATGATGACATCACTCTAAAGCTTAGGTATCTGGGAGATGTAGAATGAAACTTAATGAAAGAAAATAAGCTGCCATCATTCTAAAACTTAGGCATTACTATAGAATGTGAACTTCATGAAAGAAACAAAGCTACCTAAGATCGTAACAATGAACTTGGGTTTATGATTGAGAAGATAAGACTAATTTCTATGGATGGAATAAGGTTTCGATTAGTCAGGTTGAAAACTAATTGAATCAAAAGAAAAACAAAAAAAAATTATACCAAGGGAAAATCAAGGTTTTAGTGCTAGATTGGTGATCGACACCCTCAGAGTACAAGTAGTGATTTAGACTTATTGAAAATAAAGTAAAGAGGAGAGACATAGTTTTACGTGGTAAACCCAACCAGAAATAACCATGGGACCTAGTCTAGATAGGCACAATGAACTATATGAGAAAGAAGTTACAACCTCTTTGACAGTTCCCACACCCTAGAACACCCATAGTTACCTCTTGACACAGACTGACACCAAACTTCCCACTCAAATCTTCAGGCCGTTTGTCTGCTAGTCAATATACTTCACTCCTCACAAATCTACTTCTTTAGTGATTGTCCTCCTTTTGCTCGAAACTTTGATCGGTTGATTGGATTTTAATCGATGAATTCCTCCTTATTGATCACTCATTCACATATAATGGTGTCTATGGAAACCCTAAATTGAGTAATTGGGAAATTCTACTCACTGAAGAATTTTCTCTCTAGATGTCTAGAGACTTCAAAATCATACCTAGTTGACTATAATTCCGTATTTGTAGCCAACATAGGTAGCTCATAGGTTTTGGTTGGTACTCACACACACATGCCTCTACCGAGGCTCGAACCCCTGACCTCCCTTTGGGAAGTCGGAGCCTGGTACCGCTAGACCATTGGCCCATTGGTTAGGTAGCTCATTCGTTTGAGTAAGGTGAATCTGTAAAATTGTGGTTTGAGAGAGTTTCCAAAGATACATGTATGTCAGGTTAAATCAATAGACATCCTCAGGAGTTGCCTCAACGCTCTCAGTATTTGAACCCAACAAAACCAGCAGTTCCTCGATCTTCAGCCTCTAGAATGTGCTCCATCGATCAACCATCATTCTGTTGTTCAATTTCAAATTCAGTTTTGAATAATGCCCTAATCATTACCTTTGAAAGCCATTGATAAAGAACAAAATTAAAATAGAATTGTGAGGCTCACCACGATCAAAGTAAGTCAATTTAGGTCTTTCTAAGGTCAATTTACCTGTTCCCTAGATATGTGATTGAAGATGTGGATTTATCGTCGTGTTCTTTGCAAAATTGTGTATGCCTTGTCTTTTATGGTTGTACTCGAACAACTCAAGACACTTTGACACATTATAGCACAAGTTTTGAAAATGAAATTGCCAGCACATGACTCATATTCCTAATATATATATATATATATATATATATATATATATATATATTCCTAACATGATTTATTGAAGGACCTCCTCTGCCACCATTTAGTCATAGGGTGGATGTCAATGAAGTGGTAAAAAAGACGTGGCTTCTTGATAGGTCAGATCTTATTCTCCACTGACTATTACCCCTCTTTGATGGACGATAGGAAGGCTCATTTCACCTAACTTATTGTTGACATATATGGTTCCTTCTAAAGTGACATTTTCTTTCATGCATTCAATGGCCTAATAAGATCATGTTGTTGCCTATTTAATCATACGTCAAGAGAAGATGACGGGTCACTTACTATTTCATCATCCACCCACTTCTCTCATTTGGAGGTGTTTCTTTAGCCTATTTTATGTATAGCAGGTGATGCTTAGCTATGTGAGAAGCTTTGTCGATGAGTAGGTGTACCAGGCTGGAGGTTTATGGATAAAGTTACTTAGAAAGCATATTTGCTTAAAATTTATGGGCAATGTGGGAAGAGAACATAGGGATACTTAAGGAGGAATTTGTGGTGGATGTGGTCATGATGTCAGTATGGCCTCTTTTTGGGCTTTGTTTGTGTAAATTGTTTGAATTTCAGCCCTGTACTTAGAATTGGCATGTTTGAGGTTTTATCTTTTGAATTGGCAAAAAATTCAAGCACAGGGATATAGGGCGGTTTCTTTCTTTATTTTGTGTGACTGAATTAAGCTGAGAGAGTCTAGATTCTGCTTATGATTTTCTTTGATGTGTGTGGTTCACAAATTCTGCATGCTATTATCTTTAACTTTCTCTGAACTGTTTGCTGTTAGTTATGATCTATCATCCACTGAATGTGCTCATTATCTTTTGTGTGACCGAACTGTTTTCTCTGAACCTTTTTTTTTTAGGTTCATATACTGAAGGATAATCTGGATATTTCAAATGTAAACTCTGTTAATTTGAGAGCTGCAACATCTGCTGCTCTCCTTCTTTTGCCATCCAAATTCAATGAGGTTTGCTTCCTTTCACTTAAATTATTTAATACTACAAACTTATTATGTTATTTGTAAAATAATTTGATGCTCTTCCAGGAAGATCTCTTTGCCAAAATATGTAGCCTGTCATATATGGGTGATCTACGTATGCTTTTTGCAGAAGATAAAAATAAGGTAAGGTTGATTACAACTTACTTAGATCTTAGGCAAAGAATATGACTTGTAGTTGTAGCTTCTGATAGTGTTAGTGTGCTTTGGGCTTTCTGATATTATACATATAACTAGTGGCTATCATGATAAATAGATAAATTGAAATGATAAAGGATGCGTAAGATGGAGTTACAACTATAGTTAGAACAACAAGTAGAACAAGCGAATTTTCAATTATCGTAAACGTATATCAAGGATTGATGTTAAGCCTCTATCTTTTTTACTTGATTATACATGAATTAACAAAAAAACGTAAAGGATGAAGTTCATGGTCTAGGCTACTTATTGATGATGTTTTTCTGATTAATAAAATTAAAGAAGGGACAATGTTAAATTAATTGTTCGGAGTGACGGTGTAGAATCAAAAGAGTTTAAGATAAGTAGGACTAAACTGAATGTATTAATGCAACTTTAGTTAAGTGAATGCGAGTAAGAAAATAGTGAAATAAAGAGTGGGGAGATACCAAAACTAGAACAGTTTTGTCAGCTAGTCTTGATTATTGAAGACAGGGAAAGATTGGAGATATTTTTGCTTATAAAACCAAAGCATGATGGGTTAAATGCATAGTGCTCCTAACAGATTGTATGATCAACATATTACTTTAGACTAAAAGGCAAATTCCATGAAACAGCGTTTAGACCTATTATAGTTTATGACATGCCAAATGAGTAGAGAAAAGCAATATAGTTAATTTACAATTATGAAAGAGATAAACAACATTGTGGCAATTATCATACAATGAAACTATGAGAATGGATAATAAAACAAAGATTAAGGTTTCCACGGTGCTTGTACCTGACAGACGTACCCGAGTTCAGTTAACGTAGGTCATAAACAAATAATGGAAAGTTTGATATTGCCAAGATATGGCTTCTGAATTATCTTAGGAATAATGTAACTATTATAATAGAATGTTCTGAAATCTAGATATTTCCTGGATGCAGTTACATGTTCTTTTACATAACTGTTCATTTTTATCTTTGTTGTTTTGGAGATTTTATTAGTGCCTAACATCCGTATGGCACTTCCTTGACTTTGGAGGTGAAATCGGCATGATCTATTCTTCTGTTCTCTGGTATTTTCCGTTGACATCTTTATTACCTGTCAGGTGAAGAATATTGTGCAAGGGCAGTTTGGTTTATTCCAAACAATGTATAAGCCATATCTAGAAGAACATGCAACCAATGACTTGTTGAGATTTTCATCATCTGGTGGTCACCAAGTAAATATATCTCAGGTCCATTCAAATCCTTGAGTTCTCAATTCCCAGAACAGATTTAATCTTGTATCTTTTCTTTTTCTATTGTTATGAAAGGGTCCAATATTTCCTTATCAATTATTCAAACATTCACTTTTATTTGGGGACTCCAGTGAGGCCACACATATATTTGTAATTTCAGTGTTGAAACATGATACTCTACTTACCTTTATCTAGTAGAATCATATAAAAGCAGTGTAGCTGGCATGAAAAGTTCATTATTGCACTGTTGTCTTGATATGTTCCTATTGGTCAACACCAGGATTCTAGTTTATCTGCAGTTTCCTCCCTTGTTTATATTCTTCCGGCGACGGTCAGAAGCCAAATGAGGATGAGAGTAGGAGAAGAGAAAAAAGTTGGTAAATCTGGTATGAGCAACAACTCTGATGGTGTAGATTGATAGGAAAATGAAACCCAATTATTCCCTGATTTAAGAGTTCTAGCCTCCCATATGCTTCAAATCATCTTTGTGGGAAAAAAGAAAAAGAGAAAGAAAAAAAAAAAATTGCTTAAATTCATATGCAGATTTCCAAGTGGGTATCTGATGCAACAATTTTGTTTGGATTGCATTAACATCACATTGTCTTTGCAGGTCAAGTTATACGCGAAGTTGTGATTAATTCAAGGGAAGAGGTTGCTGAATGCATGCGGAAAGTTGTGAGGCGTAGGGTTATGATTTCAAGTGCAAGGCAGGCTGTTTCTGGAATACTGACTGTTGGTGCTGTTCATGGAGTTAGATATCTTGCAAATAAGATGCACAAGGCTTGGAAATCATGGACATGAACTTGAAATATTGACTGTTGGTGCTGTTCAAGTGCAAGGCATGCTGTCTCTCCTATTTTGGGTTTTTTCCTCCTTCCAAGTGGGTTAATTTCTTGTGGACTAAAACCTTGACGAGAAGTACAACATCAGCTTGATCTAAAACTAAGGCTAAATGGGCTTTGTCTAGAAGTGCACTGTATTTTTGGCAAACTTTTGAGAGGAAATGAATGATTCCTGTAGGAGTTTTGTATCTTTAATATAAGGATCATTTTTTTTTATTTGTATCTTTAATATATGAATCGTTTTTTTCTTTTGGGGGTAAAAAGAATCATTTTTTTTTTCCCCTTAATTTTGTAAATTATATAAGCTCTCTTTCTTTCTTTTTTTTTTCTTTTTTTCTTTTTTTCTTTTTTTTTTTTAACCTTGCAATTTATTGAGAAAATACTAGCATATTGAGTTATAATGATTTTTTTAATATCGAGACTGCTTATCTTCTTTGTATCTTAGTCTGAATATTTGTTTGGCAAAAAAACATAAAACCCCCTTCGATTATCAAAAATCAGTATTTTACCTCTAGACAACAAAATCGAGCAAGTTAGGGCTACAACGGTCATATTGCAGGGTAATTATGGAATTATTAACCAACGCGCTCCATTTGTTAGCCAGAAATGACTGTTAGGGGCAAATTGTACATTTTTGATAATTGTGGTATAGATTTTCTCGATTTTGTAGTGCAAGGTAGTATAAAATATCGTATAAGTAAGGACTATCATTTCAAAAATTAGAGTCACCTCTTGACACATCATTTGTACAAATATTCTTCACATCAAACTTGTTTTTGAACTCAAATTTTAGCAATGCTTCAAAATCGGGTAAATTTTTTTTTTCTGTAATTGTCCTCTAAAAGTCCAACACGTATTAATAGATATTTGGATATGCTTCTATACTCTTATCCATTGCCCAATCAGTTTATCATCCCATCCGAAGACATTGTATACTATTATATTTCTGAGAAAAGCTTCAATTGCAACCAACTGAAATAACTACCAATGTCCTCCTTGACACAGCCTCTCTCCCCTCTCTCTTTATCCCTGCAACCTTCACATTCCCTCTCTTCCCTCCAAACCCAGCAACCGACTTCTCGAAAACACATTCCTCAAACCAGCACCACCACTTCTTTCTTCGCCAAAACATCTCCAAAACCCAGATCGGAATGGATCGAAGCCCTTCATTCCCACACCCGATTGAATCAATTCCGAGAAGTTGTTTCCACGTATAACGAAATGACCATGGCCGGTGTCCAACCCGACAATTTTGCTTTTCCGGCAGTATTAAAGGCTATCACTGGCCTTCAAGACTTGAATTACGGCAAGCAGATCTACGCCGCCATTGCCAAACTTGATTACTGTTCGTCTTCGGTGACTGTGGGCAATACTCTTCTCCATATGTATGCAAAATGTGGAGATATTGGTGATGTGCTCAATGTGTTTGATAGAATTCCTCAGAAAGACCAAGTGTCTTGGAATTCGATGATTTCTACTTTGTGTCGGTTTGAGGAGTGGGAGCTTGCATAGGATGCATTTTGGTTAATGCAATTGGAGAGTATGGAGCCCAGTTCGTTTACTTTGGTGAGTATGGCACTTTCGTGTTCTAATTTGAGTGAGAATGATGGGTTGCGGCTCGGGAAGCAAGTGCATGGGTATAGTTTGAGAGTATGTGATGGGAAAACATTTACAAACAATGCGTTGATGGCTATGTATGCCAAACAAGGGAAATTTGATTACTCGAAAGCTGTTTTTGAGATGTTTGAGCATCGGGATATGGTTTCCTGGAACACAATGATAAGCTCATTCTCTCAAAGCAACTACTTTTATGAGGCATTAAATTTGTTATAGCTTATGGTTCTTGAAGGAATTAGGCCTGATGGGGTCACAATGGCGAGTATTCTCCCTGCATGCTCCAATTTGGAGTTGTTAGATGTTGGGAAGGAAATTCATGCTTATGCCTTGAGAAATGATGATTTGATTGGGAATTCGTTTGTCGGTATTACTTTAGTCGACATGTACTGCAATTGCCGACAGGTTGAAAGTGGCCGTAAAGTTTTTGATGGTATCTTAGATAGAAAACTTGAGCTTTGGAATGCTATGATTGCTGGTTACACAAAAAATGGCTTTTATGAGAAGGCCTTAATGCTATTCTTGCAAATGATGGAGGTCTCAGGACTTTTTCCTAACCCCACAACAATGGCAAATGTCTTACCAGCTTGTGTGCACTGTGAAGCATTCTCAGACAAAGAAGTTATCCATGGGTATGTAATGAAGTTGGGTTTCGGAAAGAACCCGTATATACAAAATGCACTTATAGACGTGTATTCTAGGATGGGAAAGAAAGGAACTTCAGAAAATATATTTAATAGCATGAAGATTAGAGATATAGTTTCTTGGAATTCAATGATAATAGGTTATGTTATCTGTGGACGCCATGAAGATGCACTTATTCTGTTGCATGCGATGTAAAGAGGTGAAGAAGCAAAGAATGAGGAGAAGGATGAGTATGAGGATGAAAAAGGTGTTCCTTGTAAACCAAATTCAATAACACTCATGGCAATCCTTCCTGGCTGTGCCACCCTTGCAGCATTAGCTAAGGGGAAAGAAATTCATGCTTACGCCATTAGAAATGCTTTGGTATCAAATGTTGCTGTGGGCAGTGCACTGGTTGACATGTATGCAAAATGTGGTTGCTTGAACTTATCTAGGAGAATTTTTTATGGAATGCCCAACAGAAATGTGATCACATGGAACGTGATCATCATAGCTTACGGCATGCATGGGAAAGGAGAAGAAGCTTTAGAACTTTTTAGGAGTATGGTGGCAGAAGGAGCTAGGGGTGGGGAAGTCAGGCCTAATAAGGTTACATTTATTGCAATTTTCGCTAGATGTAGTCACTCTGGGATGGTAAAAGAAGGCCGTAACTTGTTTCATAAAATGAAAGATAACTATGGAGTTGAGCCTACAGCAGATCACTATGCTTGCGTTGTTGACTTGCTTGGTCGAGCAGGTCAGCTGGACGAAGCTTATCAACTCATTAAGTCGATGCCTCCTGATGTTGACAAAATAAGCACTTGGAGTAGCATGCTTGGTGCTTGTCGAATCCATCAAAATGTAGAACTTGGGGAAATTGCAGCGAAGAATCTCCTTGAATTGTAGCCAAATGTGGCTAGTCATTATGTTCTACTCTCTAATATCTACTCATCTACCGAACTCTGGAAGAAAGCAACAGAGATTCGAAATAACATGAAGGAAATGGGAGTACGAAAAAAACTCGAGTGCAGTTGGATTGAGTTTGGCGATGAGGTTCATAAGTTCATGGCTGGGGATGCATCACATCCACAAACCGAGCAACTTTATAGCTTCGTCGAAACATTGTCAAAGCGAATGAGAAAAGAGGGTTATGTTCGTGACACTTCTTGTGTTCTACACAATGTTGGTGAGGTGGAAAAGGAGAATCTACTATGTGCACATAGTGAGAAACTAGCAATAGCATTTGGTATCCTCAACACGCCTCCTGGCACCACCATTAGAGTTGCCAAGAACCTTAGAGTCTGTAATGATTGCCATGCTGCTACCAAGTTTATTTCAAAGATTGTGGAGAGGGAGATAATTGTGAGGGATGTGAGGAGGTTCCATTATTTCAAGGATGGAACTTGCTCCTGTGGGGATTATTGGCGAGGATGCGTCCAAACCAATATTTTCCAACATTAAGGGAAAAGTTTTCAGGAGATTCAAATACCAGCAAGCTGTAACATAATACTGATCACTTCATTTGTATTATCAAGATTAGTATGTACAAATTTATTTATTAGCAAACAGTTTTTGTAGCTTTAAGTTGTGAAATATAAGGAATATCACATATTGGGAGGGCTATTGGAGTAAATGCTTTGCTGTAGCTCTTTGTTTTTTGCGATTTGTGAAATGTGGATGATCAATAATGCTTTTCTCAAAATTTGGATGTCTCAGGCTCAATTCTTTTTTATTTTTGAATAAATTGAAAGGTAGCAATGGTCAACTATTCAATAAGTTACTATACAGTAAGTAATAGTCCTTTGAATATTTTGTTTGGACAAATTGAAACCCTTGTTGTTGCATGACCACAATACCTACAAAAAATAAAAATTTAGAGTAAAAATATAACTAGTTTTTGTTAGATTATTCCTATAAAATCTTTTGATAACATTTTAAATAATATTCGATGGTCGAAATCATGATAAGCAGTATCGGTCACGGTTGCGATATAACAGACGCGGATAAAGTCAATATAAACTGGCCGATACAAATCACGTATCAGACTTGAAAAAGAGTCGCAGCGAACCATGGTCCAAATAATTGGTTAATTCTGTTATTACATTTTATAGTTCATTGATACATTCTTGTTATGAAGCACATTCTCTCAAATTCTTAAATAATGAGCATAAGATGTGTGTCGAGATGACGAGTGCCACATTGTCAGGAATCTCGGATACCCAATAATTTATCTTATATTAATTAGTGAATAATGACTAAAAGTGAAGCACATAATATATATATATATATATATATATATATATATTAAAAAAAGAACCCCTTTGATTAAATTTTCAAATAACTACCACTTCCAGCTTCTCCTTTTTCAAGTTTTTCCCTAATGTGGCATTGAAATACGAACTCTTTTTTTTTTTTTTTGGGTAAAGTACACTCACACTCCATGGGGTTTGCTAAAAGGACACACCGATGAAACTTACTCTTTTTTTGGACAAAGACACCCCCTCATACAAAACTCCAACCAAATAAAGCCTTAAATCCTCTGAAAAGACGAAATTACCCTTAATATTAAAATAAGATTTATTGTAAAATATCAAACATATTAGAAGGACACAATTACCCCCCTAACACCTCCCTCTCTCTCCTCCCCCGCCTCCTCTCTTGTAAAGTCTTTTTTCATTATATATATATATATATATATATATATATATTGTGATGACCCTGGTTTTTAGGCCAGCGTGTCCTATGATGAACCGTAAGGATGATCCGATAACGGATCCGAATGCGGAAGCGAAAACAGAAAACAAGACTCTAAGAAGTCAAGTGACCTTCCATGAGGTCGTGGAACTCAACAAGAACTGATGCGGAAGCAAAAGATCGAAAAAATGACAAATAAGCCCCTAGGGGCAAAATAGTCATTTCTGAAAAATGTGGATTTGGGTGCCACCGAGCACACCGTTGGAAAGATAGTGAAAAATTAACAAATCTAGACTCAAGAATCACTTGATTCAGA